CCTATAGTACTAGCTGCTACAGCTACTGTCAGGGCCCGAGAAATGAGGCCAAATTCGAAGGCGGAGTGGGGCAATGGAGTTCCGCTGGCGTTCGCTGAACGCTCACTGAGGAGGATAACAGTCGACATAACACCACGGAAATCAAACTGTCCATAATTCTGCAATTATGTTTATTAATTTTTTATTTAAGTTATTTAATTAATTGAGATTTTTATTTTTAGTTTACCCTATTATTCAATCATCGCGCGCTTTTTTGTTACTATATGTTCATATTCTTATACTAATTTTATCGACTATTTCTTGTTCCTGTTTGTCATATTCATCGTATTTTCTCTCGTACGCCCCTGTAATACCTGACCCGCATAACCCACATTACCACCTGTCTCATTTTACAGGATTGTTTTTTTTACTTCCATAGTGTCACTGATAATCGACCACTACCGTGTGAAGTCAGTTCGAGTGAAGATACAGAAATATTTATCCTGCCTGGAATTCAGGACAAGGCTATCTGTATTACGTCAAGGGCGTTTCTGTTCGCGTAGTCTGTCGTATTCTCGCGAGGATTAGTCAGACTCCCTGTCCGGAAAATGCAAGTATTACTAAACTACGTGATACAACCCAACACAGTTAGGCGTGAAATAGCGTTCACAGTCAAAGCTGTTATAGGCAGTTGCAGCCTTTTGCAGTGTAAGCGGACTGTGGACTGCGTTTTCAAGGGAGGGCGCAGTTGTAAGATTAATAGCCGGGTTTTAGAATGGCGAAAAAAAGAAGGCGTGATTACGACAAGCGTCTTCTGCAGTTCCCCACATGATAATAGCAACTTTAAAAATCTTTTTTCCTTAAAACCCTTAGTTCTCCGCCGTTTCATAGGAGGAAGTCAAAAGTTCCTGAGTTTTCTACTGTACGGAAAATATTTCAAGTTGCGAAAAAAATATTCCATCGTTTTAAATTTATACTTTTTGTGTTTGAAGATAACAAAGGAAAGGAAAGCCTGAAAGCAGTGATTTTTTTCATTATTTTGGCCTCTTTATCGCTTGACTTTAACGCGATCAATTGGCAATGAGACGCCAGCCATGGTAAGGTGCTTATGCATTCGCGAAGGACAACTGAGGTACCTTTGTATCAGCCACATGCATAAGACCGAGTTCCTCCAAAACATCATCGACCTTGGATTTGGTTTCGGCCTTGGTGCAGGATGCTTTCCGTCGGAGGACGGCTGCGAAGTAAAGGCTTTCTCGCACGGTCAGGGTCCCCATGAGGATGTCGTCCTGGATAAAGTAGGAAGATAAGGGAGTCATAAAGAAGGAGCATATCCTGATCGTAGCATACAGTGTTTTCCTGCTGATACAAAACGGGGAAATGGGGCTCCTATTCGATGTAATATTATGGGAACAGTAGGCCGCTGAGATTAAGCACAGCTGCGAAACAGCCGTATGCACCCTCCTCAGTTGTGCTCTGACCTAACTTTTCTAGCGGAGGACATAAAGGAGGACCGGGTGTGGCCTAGAAATTAGATGCACTCATGCCATTTTGCAGCTAGACGGCGGGCTACGATCAGCGCGCTCTTGCTAAAGGGTCAATAAGGTGAAGGGCAGAAATTTTTTCTGTCCACCTCACGAGGTGGATTTCACCAGCCAATGTTGATTACCCGCCTTGCTTCTTTGTGAGACACCGAGCTAGTAGTTTGGTGTTGACTACAGCAACGAATATGCTAATTTAGTTGGTTCGTTTTAAGTAGTTTTGCAGACACATGAATTCTCTCTCTCGGACCATAAGGACATGATTACTGTACAAAAACACTTTTAGTATCACACCCACGCTAGTCTTCGTATTGAATCGATGCGCCTGCGCAAAATTAAAAACTACTGACTCAAAATGAACTCAGGGTTATTCCTCCACCCTACTGTTATTCAAATTGCGGCCAAATATTCGCCATATTTGGCGTTCAAACAGTCACCCTTTCCGAAAACATTCGTTGAGGAACCATGTTTTAGAATCGATGCAGGTAGCGGTTATGTAAACGAGATGCGAATTCACTAGATTAAAGTTAGTAGAAAATGACAAAGGGAAGCAAAAGTGAAACCTAAGGTCGAATACGTAGTTAAAGGCGCTGAGGTAGACGCCAACACACTCCAGCAGCTACAGTCAAGATGTAGGTGTTCGCTCTTACCATGCTTTCGCTCAGGACAACCAGCATTATCGCTGTTTAAGATTTATAAATCCGGCGATGCTGGTGCGATGCGGGTTAGCAAATCCGGACTTTTGCGAACAGTGACCGCAAATAAGATTTTACCTAGAGCGAGCGTTTTTGAAGACCGCA